GCCCGCCTGGCATCCGGCCCGGGCAGCGGGCACGGGGGAGGGGAAACCGGGTTTCGGCCCCGCGGGGTCCTGGGAGGAAGGGGACGGCCGGGTGGGGGTGGGGCGGGCTTCCCGGGGAGCAGGCCTGGAGCTGGGGCCCCCTTCCTTCACCCCTCTGCCCTGGGCCCAGCACCTACTGCCCGCTGCAATTGCCCAGGTGCCGGGCGCGGCCAGCTTCCTAGCCACCAGCCTCCCAAGCTGGGCCTGGGCTTCCCCATTTCACACATGCAGAAACCAGAGCTCTGGGAGGTGAAGGACTGGCTGGGGTTGTTGACCTAATTAGGAAGTAGACGAGCCCGAACCAATGCTAGCACCTTTCTTCCTCTACCTCCACCCTGGGGCTCCCTGAGCCGCTGGGGTGAAACACCCCAACCACCACCACCACCACCATCCAACTGGACCGCGCCCAGCTGCAATCTCGAAAATTATGCTCCCAGCCCCCAATTTCAAGATGAGTTGCGAAGACATTGATCATGTCGCCTCCTCCCCCTGCCCCAGCCAGGCGACTTTTTTTATTGGGCCCTTTCAAGTGGCGCCCATCCTTGCCAGACCTTCGATAGTTCAGTTCCTGAGGCACAGCCCCCAGCGCATCCTTCCTTCTGTCCCGCATTACCTTCTCAGTCTACCTCTCTGCCGGAGTCCCAGGAGTGCTTGGCTCTTCCCTTCTGCCCTTGGCCCTCTGAAGACCCTGGCCCTGTGTGTGTGGCCCTTGGTCACTTTGGGCAGTAGAGGAGGAAGAGGGGGGAGACCCAGGGCACTTTCCACCCCAACCTGCTCTTCCTGCCTGGCATCCAATAGCCTCAGGCCTTCCTGGTCCTCAAGGCCCCCACCCTCACCCCTGTGCTTCCAGTATGGGCACGCCCAGGAGCCACCCACCTCCCACAGTCAACCACTCCTCCACATGCAAGTATAGGGCTATAATATGCACCCAGCAGGGGTGCCCAGTGGGGAGCATCCCACCCCTACCCCCCGCAGGGCTGGGAAGACAGCCTTGTGATCTTTGCTTTCCCCAGAAGTCAATGCTAATATGACATGTGTCCCCTTGAGCGAGTATTCACTGCACAAGGCTACTTAGTTCTGAGCACCCCATACTCACACACTACGCCCAACACTAAGCTCTGAGGCTGCCGGCCCCAAACAGGCACTCAGGAACCAGACCACAGCAGCCCCAGATTTTTTTTT